CTTAGCCTAACTGGAACTGCTTTGTCAATGACAAATAAATAAAGTATATTTAACTTTGCAGTTCTATTCATGTCATTTCTTCTGCAGCTGAGAGTTTTCCTCTGAATCAATACTAAGCAGACTCAGAGGCTGAGATGGAGGAACAAAGCGGTGACACATTCATCCAGACTGCCGAAGTTCCTGTATGAGGTGATCAACTCTGAAATTCCAGGGAAAAAGGTTTGGCTTATTTTCACAAAAGCCCAAATATAATCTGACTGAACATGCAGACTGGAGGCTGCAGTCAGGATTTTCTCACACTGGTACATAGAGAGAGGTATCAAGAACACACGCGCGCATACAGCCCCTCACTTCATCCAACTTCTTGTATCATGCAGTATTCTTATCTTTTTATTGTCTAATTTGCTGTGATTTAGGGTCTGTGTCCGCAGGCAGAGGTTTTTGCACAGGAAGTGACCAACCTCACATCTATTTGTCACAAAATAGCCCAAACCTCTCTCCCCTGAGGAGAAACGCTGTCATCCCTGAGCTTCGCTGAGGTTTTTTATAAAAAAATAGATACAAAAACCCCACAGACTCTTATTCACTTAGATAATGTTTGAAATTTTAAAAGTCTTCTTCAGAACAAAACTGGAGCTTTGCACATTGTTTACTCCTCGTCATCTTTTGAAAAGCAAGTAGATGCTCGTTCATCTATGCGTTTGCCACATCCCATTAAATGCTGCTGGTGTCTCAGTTGTGCACAAGGTGTCCTTTGGTGTCAGTGCCTTGGCATACAGCCTGAGTGAAACTGGACATAATACAGATGTAACACAGACACATAAGTACTCTTTGAAAGCAAATATTTTTCTTTAGATCTTGAATGTTTGCATATGAACTCATTTACGTGAGGAAGAACTGATTTCAGGAAAATAGAGATGTTCAGATCGTAAACATTGTGAGGCTTTTGTTCATGTATTAGCTGTTTAGATGTTTTATCACACAAAAAACATTTACATTAGTCTAGAGATGAATGTCGTCATTATATTTTAGTAAATCTATTCAGAGGTGAAGAAAAATAAACTGCAGTGGTTAGCACATTTGCATTAGCCGGTTCGATTCCAATCGGAGACACAAATCTCCTTCGGAGGTTGCTGCAGCTGAAACTAGCTTTCCATGAGTCTGCTTGGTTTCCCCTCTTTTATTCTTTTTATAACATTTGTACACCTTAAAGTGTAAACTCAGATATTTTCTGTAGAATGGAAGAAATCGGCCACCTGTGCCATCGTGACATTGAAACCGGTTTGGAGAAGAAGTGAAGTAATATCGGCCGTGTATCACTTTTCTTTAGGACATTAAAGACACGGCTAAGCTTCCACAAACAAAGCAGCTTCGATGTTTCGATGTAAATTCTTCACAACGCCTCATCGGAAACTCTCAGTACGGTTATGCATTAAAGTAAACAGACACATGTTAGTCCCTCTGAGCCATTCCCTCTGTTATCACCGTTGCTTAAGACCGAGATGGTGTTGCAGTGCACGGTGGCCAGCGCTGACTCACCTGGTGGAATAACACACAAACACCAGCCCCCCGTTCTCCACTCACTCAACTCCTTCCCCTCCCACTGAGTTCACCCTGCCCTGCAGTTCAAAGAGGTTCTGCCTGTCTAGCCTTGGCGTTTAATGTTTAAGTATTGGGAGCGGCAGGAGAGTGCAAATAAAATGCCTTTACAGACTCCGGGGCACGCTGAGGGTTGTGATTCTAGATACTGTATTGTGAAATTTCCATTGTACTTGACAGATTAGCTCCAGGTCACCTGATTCTGTTCAGCCGAATTCTGACTCTTTACCTCTGCTTAATGCTTGATGCGTGCGGCTTAGATAAACCATTTAGAGGAAGATTATTCAAACTTTGTGGCTCTAACAAAAGAGTACACATGCTCATAGGATAGATGGCAACGTGTCCGTGCTATAAACTGTTTGCCAAAAGTTCAAAACAGGATAAAGGGTTGAATGCGGACTCCACCTGCGAGGAGAAACCACAAAGAGTTGCGGTGGGGCTGTCTTTCTGTTGGCCTGGGAGAAAGGAAACCCTATTTGCAGCAACGGAAAACAACACAGAAAGCCTGACACTGCTTATATGTTTGTGCGTGATTATTCTCTAGTCCTAATCCGTCTAACAATGTTACAAAACATTCAGACAGGAGGAGGCTTTAAAGCAGTAATTGGGGGGACTTACACTGGTTAAACTCCACTCAACCACTTCTAGTTGTATCTCGCTTGTGCTTGATCGAGACGGTGGCAGATGAAATCAAATGTGGGTGTGGATTTAGTCTGATTCTAAGCACATCTTTTTGATTCCTTTGAATGTCAGACACAAGGGGGAGCCTTCTAAAGAAAGGCAGCGCAACGCAGCAGATGAAGGCGATGCGATGGATCAGGTAGAGGGTTCCATAAGTGCATTTGCACATTTTGGACGGTAAAGTGTTAGATGGGACACACAACGAACCAGAAACTGATGACTCATCGGCCGTTTTTCACGCCTCATACTGGATTAGCCATCACATGCAACAGGCTTCTTAATAATTGTGTAATGCCCTCAATCCCTCCAGAATTATTTCAGAGAGCTGGCCTTTGCTTTTCTGCATCACCCTCATATGCAAATCCACTGTAAATAAAAGAGTAACATAATGTGACATAATGGCACAAATCTGGGATCTTAGAAGGTGTTTGTTTAAGACGTCTGATCAAGGCAAATGCTCAAATAAAAGTTCACACGCCAAATAGATGCAGATACTTTAATTGTCTAAACTGTGTGCAGTGATTTACTTTGCCTTTAGTTGCAAACTCCACCCATCTGGCACCGAATTAGGCCAAAACCAAACAATGAAGTGTAATGTTTGCAAATACTATTTGCCCCAGGTCTGACTGAGAGATGCTTGGTTTCCTCTGCGGTAGAAACTCAAGTTCAATCCCAACGGCAAACCTTGGTTTTTAGAAAGCACAATTCATTTTCATTCAACATCTTTTATTTTCTTTTGTTAGTTTATAGGTTGTTGCTTTAATAATTGTGTTAGTGTGAGCATTAATATAAGTATTATTACTCTTTTTCAGGAGGACTGAGACCTCTGAGGACTCTTTCTACCTCTCCTTCACCTCCCTGTGGGTTTGAGGCATTTGTGTGGCATGCCAGGTTTTATCCCAGAGCTGTGACACCTGACCTGGGGCTAAACAGTGCCTCTGGTGTCCCTCGGGGCACCACAAATGCTGTCAGCTTTGTGTTTGAATACATCTGCAGACGTCGGCGCTGAAATGTGACTAAGGAAGACATCTTAAGAATCTCAATCATATGCAGCAAAAACTGAGTGATGGTAGTGATTTGCAGACTGAAAGCTGGTAGTGGAGTCTCTTACTCTGGGTTATACAGCAGTGTGCCAACCATCTTTTGGCTAAGAGCTGATGATCGTGGTCTCAGTGAGCAGCAGTTGGTCTCACCTGCCCTAGCTGCTTTGCCACAAGCCTGGCACTGACTAAACAACACCAGACTGGAGGTCAGCCAGAGCGAGGTCTAATGAGAGAGAAGCCACACCAAAGACTGGCATATCTGTCCTCACTTCAGAGCACCTGTGCCACAGTGTCTGTGTGATGAGAGCCAAAGTTGCCTCAGAACAGCCCGTCTTCCTCTAATTACTCGTTGTTATCACACAAATAATTTTCCTTCCTGAATTATTTTAGATGTCTGTTTTGGTGGACCTTGAATTTGAATACAGTGGTGTCTCATGGTACCATACAGCCTTAATCAACAACAGTAAAATATTTCTTCATTGGCCTTTAATTATAGGAATGAGACTATGAGAATGTTGAGTTGGTGATTGAAATAAAATCTATTTTAATACTCGAGAAAAGTCATAATTTCTTTCCTTTCGGAAAGTTAGTTTTTCAAAACTATAAATCTGTGAGTAAATGAGGTTTTGACTGTGTAGGAGAGAATATTGTTGCTACCCACTATCAGTATATTTTACGCACTAAATAGGTTCTTCCCCATAAAAAGTGGCTTTTGGTTACTTTTTTTTTTTTTTTTTTACTTTTTTTTTTAACGCTTTCTAAAGCCTCGTCTACTATTGTGCTGTAAGTCTGTCCCGTTCCCACCCTCATTTTAAGGACTCTGCTTCATTTTCTGAATCTGAGTTCCAGAAACCTGCGTGAAAATAAGATGAATGTGTTGAAAAATAGTCACATGGAATGATATTTTGGAGAATAAAATGCATTTTTACGCATAAACTAAAGTAGGAAACGAGCGCGCAGAGGGCACTGATGTTACTCCAACTTTTGCTTTTTAGATCTGATGAAATATCCATAATATTAGTCCAAAAAGTACATTACAGTACCATGTTTTGTCAGATTTATTGTGCCTTTGAACCATCAATAAGTTAAGTGACCTTAAAGCAAATTTCGTGCGTATATTCACGTTGGCACGCTGTTGTTGTTGAAAGGGACGCGAAGTTAGAGGCAAATTTCAATCTAATCTAATCTAATGAAATCTCATATCTCACTGCACTGTAAGCAAACTATTCCATACTATTCGTGCGTTTATTCTGGTGGATATGGGGTGTCACAGCCAACTCATGCAGCCTTTGCGCACTGCACGTCCATGAGCAGTTTTATTCTCCTGGGAAACGCATTCTGCGCTCAAAGTTGTCCCACACAAATCAATTCACCAAACTACACTGCTTCAGATTTGAGAACCACTGTTCAAGTTCCCCTGTCTGTGCTTCACTTACTGTGAAACACTGGAAAACGGGAGGGTGGAGAAAAAAAAGACAGTTTATAATTGATGTTTTCCCATGGAGCAGCCCCTCCTCCTCGAAACAGAGGCTAACCCTCAGGTGGAAGAAATCTTTTAAGATTTTTGTGGGATAACATCAGGAGGGGTAGTCGACGCCAATGAAGTCCCTCCCCTATAGATCGGTGCTATAATACAAAGCAGTAAAAGCGGTAGGCACACACACAAGCGGCAGCAGCTCGACTAGAGATCCCGTGGCTTTTAATTCCCTCACTACTTTTTTTTTTAAACCCTCCTTCGATTTGCCCCGTTATTACCATTTATCCGAGGCGTTCATTTCCGCACCTGCCACACAGAGACCAAGCTAAGGCGAAGTAGAAGAGGAGACAAGGACACTGCGAGAGCCGGGAGAGGCAGACTGTAGAGATAGCAGCGGTGACCCGTTTGAGATCTTAAAGGACAAAAAAAAAAATGCTGCTCTGGACCAAAATCGCGTTGGTCGGTCTCATCTGCTTGTCCTTGGTATCCTCTGGGATGGGATGCGGACCGGGCAGGGGCTACGGCAGGAGAAGACATCCGAAGAAGCTGACACCTCTTGCGTACAAGCAGTTCATCCCCAACGTCGCGGAGAAGACCCTCGGGGCAAGCGGTAAATACGAAGGCAAGATCACAAGAAACTCCGAGCGATTTAAAGAACTGACTCCCAATTATAACACAGACATCATATTCAAGGATGAGGAGAACACCGGTGCTGACAGGCTAATGACTCAGGTAAGGAGACGGAATAACCTTTTATTTTAATTTTATTGTGATTTTTATTTTTTTTGCCCCCACTGTCCATTTCCTAACGCACCATCACTGCGTACTGCAACAACCCCCTTGTCAGACTGATTGCGCACCTTAAGTGAAGTCTGTTTTACCCGCTGCTGAACTCTTCACACTGAGCCTTTTAACTTCACTGCAAAGGCAGATGCGCTTTATACACCAGCATGGGAGTTTCCAAAGGCTGCAGGCTTGAAGCGAATATAGAAATCCAGCTGGATAAGTGATGTGCAGGCGGACAGTCAGGACACTCGGCTTTCATGATTGTGACAGTGTATTTAAAATATTAATGTGCCCCTCTCCTCATATCTATATTTGTATCTATGGGAGGCTCGTTTTGTTGCCTTACAGGGGCACGTCCATGTTAGATTTCATGCAGACTTTCTGTGTTTGCTGCCTATTTCGGCTTTACGTTGCAGCTTGTTTAAGCGCCTTTTCCTTACCCCAGCCCTGGGGATGCGCATCGCTTTAACAGCCGGGCTTACTGAGGCATGGCGTAGCTCATTCAGACGTTTCCTTGCACAGCCTTCTGTAATTTAGCCTTTCGCGTGGCGTGCATCTGTGCATGAAAACTGACATTTCTTTGAGAGTGTCCAGGCCTTGGTAAATGGGTGGGACTCGGCCAATTACACGAGCAAGGCGCACAGGAGTGCTGGTGTGTTTTACAATACACCTGCACGAAGGATGGCGTTTGTTTTAAATATCTCATCCTCTTGCAGCCAGTCAGTTTAAAACCTCATACCCGGTTCAGTGCAGCTAAGAAGAGGCTCACATACATCGGAGACATGCCTTGATTTCTCTCCAGGCTGCAGGATGTCGCGTCTCTTCAGCATGACTTTTAGCACTTAGATGCTGGTGAATTATTAAAAAGCTCTTGGGTGATATTGGCTCAGTAATAATAAAATGAAGGTGGTGATGGTGGTGCTGCTGGTGGTGATGAAGCCAGGCGCGCGCCGGTGTCCCTGAACCCGTGCCTAGCACCACGCATGAGGGCGAGCTCCACTAAAATATTCACAGTGCGTGCGTCGCTCAGCCCTCCCCACATCTCCTCTGCTATACACCTATAGGTTCTCATACGCGGGGATCGTGAAATTACAGTAGTGTGAGGATGTGATTACCAAGGCGAGGGGTTAGAGACCTAAACGGATTCTCCGTGGGGGTTTCCAGGTCTCTAGCAGGAACATAGTTTAATTTAACCATTATTTCGAGAATCTTTGAACTAAAGAAGCACCTGTCTTAATCCAAGCTTTTACTCTGAGTAAAAAGACCCGCATGCCTATAAGGATTTGCTTTTGCAGGTCAGCATCAAAACGAACAAAGGTGGGAGGTGGAAGAGCTGATAAATTGTGATTAGATGTGGCACCATACGCTTGTGCAGCGTGGCCTGTTGGGGGTTTCTTTTTGTTTGTCGGATTTATTTGGGTTTGTTCGTGATCCATTTCCCACTTGACTGTTTACAGAAAACACGGCGACCGACCGAAGTGTGAAAATGTACACGAAAGAACTTTTAGGCGCCCCTCGCCGGGGCTTGAAACACAGTTTGAACTTAGAACCTTTGGTCAGCGGGAGGCCACAGTAAGTTAAAACAGGTGTGATTATCCTTTTTATATATGACACTGTAAAGCCACCAGATTGAAGCATGTGCACCCAAGGGAGAGTAAGTGTAGCTGCAAGCAACATAAGCATTATCACATGGGGATTTACGCCGTGCCAAGGCTTTATGCATGAATCCAGAGGGTTTTTACGCACGGAGTTTTACGCATGAATGCCTTGAACTTCTTTCGTTATCTCGCGGTTTAGAAAATAGGTGTTGTATTCATAAATGAAACAAGGCACGTGTCTAGAGTAGCCCCGTTAGATATGTGCAATAAATGAATTAATCAGTCAATCAGTTTAGTGAGGTCTTGCCAAGATTATATACTCGAAGAAGCGCTTGAACAAGCACTCCTAACTAGTTTGACACAGACATTTACGAATAGATAAACGAAGTGACGGGTCCTGACTTGATTAGGACCATCACTTTCGCCCGCTATTCCACGGCTTTTAGACTTATGCTCACCTGTCGCTGACCCTCGTGAATTCAACTTGTGTTAAATTTCTACGCAGAAATTTGGGACAAAATAAGACTCCAAAGAGACTTTTAAGGCAATAAAATGACTTAAAATTAAACAACAACAACTTTGATTTGCCCTCTTTAAACAAGTGAAACTGTAAGCCACAATGTCAGGGGTTACTTTTTTACATTAGACCCGGTGCCAGACTAAACGGCGTTTTCATCTATTTTTCTCCCCCTCCAAGCGTAACAGTGTTAAGAGCCTGCAGTGCAAACGAGTTGGAAACGAGATGAGCTGGCGGCTTGTTTGCACTGACAGGTAGCTGATAAGTGTTTCCTCTAACCAAATCATTTGTGAAAAGATTAAGAGGCAGGCTGTTGAACAACTTTACCCCGAGCACAAAGCGCCGGTCCAAGGCGCCCTGCTGGGCTTCATGGTGGTTGAGCAGAATTTGGCTTGATTTGCGGCACACGACCTAATGAATTAATAAATAGGTTAAGCTTTACGGCTCTTGACTCCAACAATCTCTCTCAGTATGCAGAAGGGTTTTTAAGGAGAGTTTTTTTTTTTTTAATTCAACACATTCTACAAGTGTGATATCCTCATAAAACAGCGACTGATATATTTGACTTTGTTTTCTGTTATGCGAGCGGGTAGATTTGTGTGAACAACCCCCGATTGAAGACCTCAGACTGTCCCAACCGTGGCGTAGGGGTGGGAGGGCAGTGGGCTCTTCTTTGCCCCCAGTGCAATCCTGGGATATTTCACAAGTCTGTTAGTCAGCAGCCAAAACACCTCGACTTAAGAAGGCATGTCACGTTTCCAAGACTTTGCAGGAGAAGAGTAATGAAAGTTTCCCTCCGCCGCTGGACTGAAAAGACTCTTTGTGATGTTTTATTTGACATATTGGTTCGGCGTCCAGAATAGTTGTCTTGGAGAAGGCCAGGCATCTTCATTTAGAGCGCGGAGAGCTTAGGGTTCAACCAACTCCAGATATTTTAAGGAGGCAGCTGCTCTTGAAGATCATCTTCATATCATCTGGACATCAATTATTAATTTAAAGAAAACAAGCAACTGACAAAAGACTCCCTCATTCATCGCCTAATGCAGACTCGTGAATTCATACTGTATTAATGTTGTTTTTAATGCAACACTTCTGGATAGAAAAGGGTCACTGCTCGCACCTCTCCAAGACCAAAGACCCATATGTTATAGGCCAGTGAAGCGAATGCAGTGCCTTATCAATATTTCATCAGCAGCTTTCTTACCCGAGATGTGCCCTCTGACGCTGCTGCTAACACTGAGAAATGCAAGCTCAGGATCAGAGACGCAGTTCAGCTCCAGTGTTTCACCTCAGCTGGGAGGAAACAGGGGAGTCAGGTGGGTGGGGGGATGGAGTTGTGCGAGAGGCCTCAGTTGGTCCAGTTTTAATCTTTAATTGATATTAACCCTTGTGTGGTGTTCATGCTTTTGTTACTCGGGCAACATTGGCGGATCTGGTTTAACAGATGTTTACTTTTCTCAGTTCTAAGCAATAAAATCCACACATATGGTCAATATGTGGAATTTACCTCCGTCAGAGCGTATTTATGAACTAAAGCGCTGCTCGTTTTTGTGAGAAAATATAATAAATATCTAAATATAAAAAAGTTGTGAATCATATGAGCCTATGTAACTCAACCTCGTTAAACAAACAGCCTGTTTGCATCAGCTTCTACACAACACATGGGGGGCACTTTTGCTGTGTGTGCACATGTGTTTCTTGCCCACAAACATTTCACCTCTTCTTTTTGTTGCTACTGGATCTAGAATAGATCGGGGAATGTCTCCTGATCGGTGATGAAAAGTCCAGCCAGGGCCAAGTGTGTTGGTCCTGGCTGGACCACGTTGCCACGTGGGATGCTTCATTCCTTGGACGAGAAGGCTATTTAGTTTCACTTTTTCTCCACCTTGCTGTCTGCTGATGAGCTTCTCTTCACCCTCCTGTCTGCACTGTCCTCCCAATAAAGGCAAAAGTCCTCATGTACTAAAATCTCATCGTGTTCCAAATCCTCTCTTTCTCGTCTAAAATCACAGATATTGATCGATAAGGAGCCTCCCTAGCAAAGCTGTTTATTAGTTGTGCTCCTCCTCGATTTGTAGTTGGGACAAAGGGTATAATGTGCGGGGATGAGGGAGCAGACAGGTGCAGGTTTAACAAAGTTGGAACTTTGTGCGGAAATAGCAGGAGCAGACAGAAAGAAAGAAAGAAAAAACAAGCGCGCACAGCAACAGCAAGTCATGCAGGACGAGGAGGAGAGAGTGAAGGGACACCAGCACGACCACACTTCTATGTCCACATGAGTGTGGGGGCTACAGTGTGATGCTTTATGTTCTTCGCAGAAAATGAACCTGAATCTGAAGTGGAAATGATGGTAAAGCACACAGTTCTTCTGGCACAAAGTTTAATTACTGAAATGTAATAAATCTGTCAGAAGGCTGATTAGGTGATCTAATATTTTATTTCTCTGACCGCTTATCAGCCCATATTTCTCTCGTCAGCTAAGTTGTGTCAGTGCAACGCGTGATTTGAGTGATTTTCACTTCATAAAAGCTGATATTTGCGCACTGTGGTGCTGTTTCTGGCAGTTCCGGTGATGCATGGATTCATTTCTTGTTCCCACAGAGATGTAAAGACAAACTGAACTCGCTAGCCATCTCCGTGATGAACCAGTGGCCCGGAGTGAAGCTGCGGGTCACCGAGGGCTGGGACGAGGACGGACACCATTTAGAAGACTCTCTTCACTACGAGGGCAGAGCCGTGGACATCACCACTTCAGACAGAGACAAGAGCAAATACGGCACTCTGTCCAGGCTGGCGGTGGAAGCTGGATTTGACTGGGTCTACTATGAATCCAAGGCCCACATCCACTGCTCCGTGAAAGCAGGTATGGCTCCAAAGTAAAAAGAAAAACAGAACTGCGCTGATAATCTGCCATGCGCACCACTGGCTGTGGGATAACGTCGCGCATTTCCCATCAGGCGTGATTGCAATCGTTTGTAACAACAGGTGCAGCTCAGGGAAGCAGCAGCCCTGTTTTATCTTCTGGAAAAGTTTCACCCAAGACTAGATTGTATCAGCTGGTTGTGATGGGAAAGTAAAATAGAGTCGCAATAATACTTATCATGGGCTTACTGATCTGATGGTTATTGTGGACAAGTGTGACCACTGATCAATTCAATGATTTCAGAGATTAATCACAGAATCATAGTGTTTGAGGGGTCATTTAAGTGCAGAGGTCAGATGTTTCAGATCTTTCCATTTATTTTAACTGGATAGTTTTTATGAAACTGTAAGTAGTAATTTCTCTGAGTGATGTATAGGCATTTCCCGGTTAAAGGCGTTATAAGCGTTTCTCGTTGCAGCTTATTTTTTGATCTTACACCGCCCCACACTGTCTCCTGGTGGGAACCGCTACCATAGTCTAACGAGGCTGCTCGGCGTGACCTAGAAATAGCACATTTTTCTCGCTCCCTGATAAAAATAAGTGCTGCAAGGTGAATTTGGTAACCGTTTTTAATTATATGTGAGAAAATCATAAGAATTTTCTCTTCGAGGCGTTCATTTCCATTTGTTTTTTTGTTTTTTTGGGGTTTATCGAGGCTCATAATCTACCTAGGCCGTCACTACTGGACACCTATGACGCCCAGAAAATATTTCTCCACTTTGACTGATGAACCATGGTGCTTTTTCCTTCTTCTTTTTTTTTTAAATTGATAAATCCCTTACTTGTCATTCAGCACACACGTTTTGAGATCACAGTATGAGCTAGGCCGACGTGTCATTGGAGGTCATGCGACTTTACCAAAAGGATTTGGCTGAACAATGTTGAATTGGTTTGGGGTAAATCTGGTTTTCAGTTGTCACCTTATTTCATGCTCGGGAATCTTAAAAGAAGATTAAAAGCCCCAAATTCTGAGTAGGAAACCCTTTTTTTCTCCCTCTGTGCAGGACAGTGTGATCCTAGAGACTGGTATGTGAAGAGTTCCACCAAGGCCAAAATTATTGTCATCAAGATTGACAACAAAGCAGGGAGAGGTGGTAGACAGGGAGAGGGGGGACATTGATGTTGCACAACAGAAAGCATTTAAGAGTCCGGGCCCTCATTTAAATTCAAATCTACAACTCGAGAGGCTTGGAAAAGTGGCTCCACTGGGTAAATAGTAGTTGTGAGTCGCCTATTTGTGTGAATTGTCACATAGAGGTTTCTGCACCTGAGTAAATATGGGAAGAGTAGCTGGGAAAGGCGTAAGTGTTCTTTACGGAGAGTAGCTCGATCCACAAGTTGATTTAGAATAACAATGCCTGCTCTTCATTGGGGTTTTTAATTAAGAATAGATGAGCCAGGGCTTTCAGTTTTCCCGTCTCAGACAACGTGGGCTAAGCTAATACGCATCTGGCATCAAGGAGCCGACATCATTATGCAAAATGCATATGGCCCACCGTGTTGTGTAGAGGCAGAAAAAATACAGATAAAGGTGGATTTTTCAATCAATTAGAATTATTATGAATGGGCCTTTGAATGAGTTCTGGGCTGGAAATGTTCAAAGCGCATGTGATGTTTCTTTGCACGCGTTAAAAATTATTAATAAAAATCTCGCAGTGAGAAAAACGACTTAATGTTTTTCTTGTTTCTTCTAACAGAAAATTCAGTGGCAGCAAAGTCAGGCGGCTGCTTCCCCGGATCCTCCACGGTCACCCTTCAGGATGGCACCAAGAAAGCAGTCAAAGATCTCAAAAGCGGCGACAGGGTCATGACAGCAGATGACGACGGAAATGTAATTTACAGCGACTTCATCATGTTTATAGACCGAGATTCGATGCTGAGGAGGATCTTCTATGTGATCGAAACCGACTCGGGCCAGAAAATAACCCTCACCGCCGCGCACCTCCTCTTCGTCAGCCGCAACAGCTCCAGCGAGGCGGAGAAGCGGATGTCTGCGATTTTCGCCAGTCAAGTCCAGCCTGGACAGAAAGTGTTCGTCTTTGACGCAGAGCGAAGTCGACTCGAGCCTGTGACCGTCAAACGGATTTACACGCAAAGTCACGAGGGTTCCTTTGCGCCCGTGACTGCACAGGGGACCATCGTGGTGGACCAGGTCCTTGCGTCCTGTTACGCAGTGATCGAAGACCACGACTTGGCACACTGGGCCCTGGCACCCGTCAGGCTCGCCCACTGGGTGTCCTCGTTCCTATTTAGCTCCCAGCCTCCAAGCAGTGTACAAAACGAAGGAGTGCACTGGTACTCCAAAATCCTTTATCAATTAGGGACATGGCTCTTGGACAGCCACTCGATCCATCCACTTGGAATGTCGGTATACCCAAGTTGAAACAGCTGCGACAGGAGCAGAACGAGACTTTAAATGTAGGACACACGAACTATACAGTAGATTAAAAATAATAATAATAATAATAATAATTAAAAAGAGAAAGAGAGAAAGAAAAAAAGCGAACTGACAGACAGACGTGACATGACAAGGGCCCCAGCGGAGTTGGGATATTTATTTCAGTGACTTTTCCATGATGTGTCCCCCTTTCAAAGAATGAATGGAGCCTTAAAAAGTTTCTCTTTGAATAATTTATTCTCATGTGAACTCTGCTGCTGTCACATAAATGGATTCTGAAACTGTGTGAGCAGCAAATTGTGCATAATCTATTTTTGTAAATATCAAATGCAAAAAAAAGAAAGAAAAATGAAGAAAAAAATTGAAAAATGGGAAAAAAAAATCGGAAACAGAAAGAAGATCATGTAAAACGGAGCTGACTTTGACAGGCTGTAAGTTTCATACATATATATATATATATATATATATATATATATATGTCACAGCTGACTGTTATATTTTGGGGAGAGAGGAAAAAAAATACCCTCGCGGGGTTCCATAAATTATATTTTTATACACAGAATTGTAAATTAGATTTTGACAGATCGCTACCGAATCACATTTCGTTATTTGAAATAGTGTAAGATATGAAAATATATTTTAATTTAAATACAGTAGCTGGGAAAGTGTTGGAAAATCTTGTACTGCTTGGTTTATTAAGAATTTTATTATTTTGTAAACTGTTCGTTTCAGTTGTTGGAGAGGGACAGATATTCTGCCCCATGTCTGCATTCTCTGCTTTTTTATGTGTATGTGTTTCTTTTCTGTTTTCTTTTGAGAAAAAATAATATCAAATGCAGATTCTGACAATTCAGTAACAGTTAAAGTAGTACTGAAACCGTTTCGTTAAATAAATTAATAAGTAACTCCTGTAAATGTACTAAAATCTTATTTTTCTTTTCATATTTTGTAATAGGGAAATAGTTTTATAGAAATGAACTGCAGGCTGATGCACAGTTTGAATAGACTATATATAGGCAGACCTACCAGTTAACTTTCATAACAGGGCGATGTGTCAAAAAATGTCTAGAATTTATTATTTATATGTTTATTATAAAATGAGATAAAGAACATTTTCAAACTTGGAGTTGTTATATGTCTTTTTCAAAAACAGTGCCAGAGGAACCACACAGTAGTGGGAAGAACGGGGGCTTTTTGGCCATATTATTTGGACATTTACAACCAAATTATAATCTGGACTCAGTCGAGAGATATATCAGTTGGCTTGGTTCACGCCCGCCCCCCGCCAAAAAAAAAAATCGCCAGAGCCTATTGGAAGGCTTACGCACAAAAAACGGGGAGAATATTGCGCTTTGATCTACCTTTTGCATGCTTGCGAAATGTTGAAAGCCTATGTCAAATTTAACGAGGTCTGCCCTCCGCAAATAACTTCCAACGCGCAGACAAATTAAACAGAAGCGTCTTTGTTGGCCACAGGTCTGCCTCTCGGCGTCTGCTGGTTCAGGTCAGATCGCTCCATCCGACAGTAACTGACAGTCGGGGCTCATTATAAAGAAACGCTGCAGTCCCACTAGTCCACATTACAGCTTTGTTAGTCTTAACAAATCACTATAATCCTGCAGTATTTTCATAGACTTATAGTGCGCATGCAGCACTTTATAGTGCTCTCAGAGATGCGTTTTTGTCCTCTAGTGGAGCGCTTTGGCATCGGGCTGCACATCTTCTCAAATCGATTACAGCATTAGCTTTTTTGGAGATGTCATCTTCAGTGATAGGGCGACACCTTGTGGTTAAATTAGACAATTGGACGTAATATTCTGCAGCTGGGTGTAAATACTTAACGTAAAATCTGAATTAAGTTCTGGAAAAAGGATTTTTATATAACCAACTCTAGTCAATGTGTTTGTAAAGCTGGGAGCAAAATCATACAATCAAGCAGAAGAACAAAAGCAGTTCTGAAAATGTGAGACTATAAATTCAAATTAAAAAAAAAAAAAGCCCACGCACACAAAAAAAGATAAATGTTGGTGAATCACTCAGACCCATCAAAGGTAAAAGGGGCCTCTGAACCTGGGTTTCTGAACACTGTTGCAACATGAGCAGGAATTCCATTTTCGTCTCCCGCATTGTGTTGTGCTGTTGATATTGTGAGGTGGAAACTTCAGGGAGGGACAAAGCGGCCCATCTCTCCCGGCACTGTGACCTTGGGTCCCTGTCAGATACAAAAGCGTCGGTGCAGGGCAGCATTCCTCAGAGCAGGTAAACAGAGCCTCCTCTAATCCCTCTGGGGGCCCTCAGTCTGCTGGAGCTCAACGACAGCTTTTACAAATGTTGACATTTGCAAACATGAACAGTCTGGCATTCTGCAAAAACAAAACTCCCCCGTTTCTAAGAGAAATCTGCAAACGGCTCGTCCTCTCTGCAGGCAGCTTTTGCTCCTTTGCGGCGGCAGCCAGCAGAGTGCTCAACGTGGAAGTGGCAAGTTAGAGGAAAGCAGAAATCCACAAGGCCTTAATTGAGAGATGTCCCTTTATTCCTACTAATGTAGTATTAATAGAGCAAAGAAGAAAGCAGAACTTTTTGTGACAGGCCAGCATGGATAGATGGATGGATACAAGCCTGCAGAGATGGGAGAGTATGCACCCATCACTTTGGTTAAAAATGGCAATTGTGGTTTTCCAACTAAACTATTTAATTTGAATAAACTGATACTGGTTTATGGTTTAAGGTGAACACACTGCAACAAGTTTTCCACTTCAGAATCTCAGCTACATAGTTACACCTTTTGGCCCCTTTTTCTACACTCTGTACTCGGATATTTGGCCGAGCTGAGCAGCATTAAGTTTCTGATGGTCTGAGGAACACAAATTCCACCCAGAATGACGCTGCCTGTATTAAAACCCTGAACTTTGCTGCAAGGTAACAGTGCTAAGCATTCGTCCCTCATACTTCTGACTTATAGAAAGCATACCCTACCAGTAACCAGGGTTTACAAATGAGCACTACTTAACTTTAAGACAAGTAAGAGTACAAAATAGTTCTTTAACTGGGACTCATTCTGCTTCATCTATTTCTACTCAAAGTTACACAAGGCTAAATGACAGAAAGGTCACCAAGAAGTTTATTTCACACCTTTCTGGTATCAAATGTTACATTTTCAATTTACATAAAATATTGAATATCTTGAATCATTTTCAAAATATAAGACATAAAAAACAGACCAAATGCAGTAGTTGTTGTTGTTTTTTAATAATCCAGTAGACAACACGATCCCTTCTTCTGACTCGTGTGATCGGGATGAAAACACACCACAAGGTGATCAGTTAAAAGTTTCGGTCAGAATTTCAGTCATTATTTGTAGCGTCAAACCATCTGAGATGATGACACCAGGTTAAAAAATAAATAAAATATATGACAGCGATGAAGCTGGAAGGAGCTTCTGGTGAAGTGAAAGCCGTGAAGCAACTTGCTTTAGAGTTATGTGTCTCCTCAGTGAACCCGGCTGTCGTCAGATGGAAACCTCCATCCACTGGGCTAGCAAACAGTGGTAATCCAGGCAGGCCACCCTGCTCCTGCTTGGTACAGAAGTCTTAAGTTCAGAGAACAGATGAGATATGTTCGAATGCACGTACAGCAAGTTGGAACAACAGCAATGACTGGAAAAGCAGAATATTCTCTGGAAGACAAGGCTGTGGCTCAGGAGGTAGAGCGGGTCGTCCACCAATCAAAAGGTCGGCTAATAGATTCCTCTGCTACTCCAGTCTGCACTTTGTCCCCTTGATGGCTCTTAAAGCATAAATAGCTCTGTGACTTCTTCAAATTTAAGAAAACACAGACATTACACAAATGACGTGAGAAGCATTTAAACCAAGATTATCAACCTCATTTTACGTTGTGGGCCACGTGCAACCCACTTTGATCTTAAGTGGGCCGGACAGGTGAAACCCCCTTTTTAT